CTGAAATAGTGCAAACATTTAGGAACGTGGGCCAGTAGGCACTATTTCTGCTCTCTCCATCAACCCTAATGACTAGTACTGATCCTGTATCCACAACAGCTCAGTAGCTAGCCAGCACATACAGTATTCATCTTTGCATTCATTTTTCGCTCTTAAGGAGACTAGTAGAGCAGAATCAAGCGTCTTATAACAATCAGACTGACAGATAACAAAATAAGTAAGAAAGTGTCTCCGGGCATAAAGGCTATTAAATGTTATCCGTCCTGGGCAAAAGGACAAAGTGACACATAATCTTAAACCAAGAAAGTAAAACCGATAAGTCTTTATAAGTTATCAAAAAGTCTAGTGAGCTGATTTTGCATCAACGCTAATCGCTTGACTTTACTTATGTAGTTGCCAGATGAATCAATGAATGTAACTGGTGTGGTACAGAAGATAACGGGTGGGCATGGATTGTTCACTTGCTCCTTTTTTATGGGATTGAGAAAAATGAAAACCAATAAAACCGGATGTTCCTCAGCCTGTGTAACTTATATATGACACATCCGACACAGTCTTTTGTCCCACTGTAACTTAGCATTATAATATGCTAAGAGTGCATGAAAAGATAGTCCTCAGAGGAAGGTGGGAACTCATTGAACCTCTGGTGCTCTGACTCTACTATTTGCAACAATAAGGTTGTCATAACATTGTCAAATGCATCTATCTATACTCCTATAACAGATGAATGGCTCAATAGGCGGTGGCCGTGCGGTTCATACCCGATATTTGACACATCACATAGTTCAGAATATGAAAAATGAGTCATACTGTGCAACATACACGGAGACAACGAGAAGGGTACAGACCTGGAAAGACATTTAAAAAAAGAAATCCACAGGCAGCTTTAGCTCCAACAGACCGGCATCTTCTAGAAAAAGCACCAGAAAAGGGACGAGGTCCGACTCGAGTAACCCAACCTCGGCACAACCTCCAAGTCTCCTTCCACCACCGCTACATCAACTGATCTATACCGTCAAGGTGATTCAAAGCAGGATGCGATCGCATGCCCGGCGGTGCGTGCGTGCGTGCGTGCGTGCAGCCGACACCGGGACGACCGTCCACACGGCAGCGCGACCACCGCGCGGCAACCGCGCAGCTGCTGCAAAATGTTGCAAATGTTGCTCGATTTCTTTCCGCGTGCACTAACTCACTGTGTCATATCGGCCACACGGCATAACATGCAAGAGTTAGATAACACCTTTCAATTTAAGAAAAGACTTCTCGGTTCGCTCATCCTACCAGATTCGTAGCGCACATAGTCGGTACCAAAATGCCCGAAGCCCCAAATACCCCCTCTCGGTTCTGTGAAAATCCTAACGAGTCAAAAAAAAAAGAACGGATTGTTGACCGTGAAAATGAAGAACCCCGGAAGCCCCGCGTGCCTCCCGGGGAAAAGACGATATGCTCGGCGTCCCGTTCAGCGGCGATTAGCAAAAAAAAAGAAGATGCTATGACGCGTCCTCTGTGAGGAGGAAAGACATCCGAACGCACCGTGCCCCCCCCCCCGTCACCTGAGAGAAATGTTCAGCTCCATCCACTGTGCGGATGGTAACCGGACATCGGACGGCGCGAACCGGACACCCGGCGAGGGAGATGACCGCATAAAACTCGCGTGTGAGTCACACGGGTCGGTATATAACTCCGCTGCATTTCCTGCCGTGATGTTTTAAATGCCGCCTGCCACCACGTTTTCAGGCCGAACCCCCTGACATCAACTGAACATCCGTGCAGGCCCAAGTCCAAAATCACACAGGAGAATAACTCGGCAGTCAATACATTGAAGAGGCCCCTTCCGATCCTAAACGGGTGGGTGCAGCTGTATGCCTAAACCTAGTGGAATTCAGATAAAGTTATGACATTATGAAATTGTGACCCGGGATAATTCAGTGCTCAATGTTTTTTTCCTTTCCTCACCATGGGACATCGGGCCCCCGTGGAAATAAAAAGCCGTAAAGAGACTCCTATTTGCCGGATAACTTTCTCCTGCCGCGGGTTTAGGGCCACCCGCTCACCCTTCATCACGGTGTGTCGTATCATGCCAGTGTCATCCCGCCACCAGGAGTTGTGTTTGTCCCCCCCCCCCCCCGTGTAATCCCCGGGAACGTCCACTGTTTGATGCCGAGGCGCGCCGTTGTCCTATAGGGCCAAAGCCTAAAATACTGCAGTGTGGTTTATTGCTGCTATATGCTCTAACTAACTAACTCATGTGGGTCAGTTGCACGCACAGTGCACGTCCTGAAAACACGTCCCAGGCGACATCGCGACCCCGTAGCACATCTGCACATCCCAATTACACACCAAAAACGGGGAAATTATTTACAGTAGGGGGGGACTAAAACGGCCTTGAGGCTATACCACACCCGTCTAAGATACGTCTAAGCGTCAGAGAGCGAGGGGCTGCTGTGGTGCACGTTTATGGAGTGATACCGGGATGGGAAAGCGTGTTTTTAATGCACGAGATTGCGTTTAATATCGGAAAAACAGGGGTGCCGCGGTCCATTTGAGGACCGCCAAACTAAAGACGCCCCTCCCTCTTCGGGCAATACCCTCTCCAGCGAATTTCCGAGGGAGCCCAGTGGTGGGGGCGAGGTAGGGAATGGGGTGAGTGGGGGGGGGGGGGGGGGCGGTTAAACTATCTCAGTTATAAAATAATAGTAGTGAGGAAATCGCTCCCCGAAACGTTTTGCAAGCGACGCATTATTCGTGCACGCGGGGACATGCAGGCGAGGTGTCACCACTCAAGAGAAGTTTGGCGTGATTCTCACTTCTATCCATCCCGTATGCGTAGCCTATGTTTCACATTCTGACACAGTAAGATGTCATTCCAATCCAGCGGCAGGCCAACACCCCAAATCACCTGCAGTCTGCCCCCCTTTCGAACCGCCTTGCACCAAAAATCCGTGTCTCCCCCTTTGAAAACACATTTCCTTTATTTCTTACTGGTATACCGCATTTTTTTTTCCACTGGCAAGCAGCCGCTAGGAAAAGATGCTGAGAGAGGGACCGCTCTGCGGCACTGGGATGCAGTCAGTCGACAAAGTGGGTCTGCGGTCCATCCCACGACACGATAAACCAGGCAAAGCAGAAAACAGATTGTCTACTTACTTTTTCTCACGTTAACAGAAATCCAGAAAGGTGTCAATGAACTGCAGCAGTAGAAAGGAGTCGAGTGTAACTGCGGCTGTCGCCATATTGTTGCTGCTATCTTCCTTCCCAGTGCGTGCGGCTACCCTGCATAATTGATGACTCTCAGCAAATTGTTAGGGAGTGTCGGTAAATGCCTTTAGTTTCAATAACGGACGGGAGACTGCAGCATCGTAAGCAGAAAAAAAATGTTAGTGTAACAACAGTCATTGCTGGTCTGGTTGAGATTTGATAGCAATTGGTAATATGTTTGTTTTCACGAACTCCTAAGGATATAAGTTCAAAGTGTAAGTGCCCATTCAAGAGGTCTCTGAGCTTATAATTGCTTTATGTAAGTAAGCTTGTAGTAGCCCACCCTAACAAATAAATTCCGACACCTCATTTTATTTTCATTTCTAATTTTGTTTAAAACCATCCCAGTTGGGTAGACCCAAAAATTAATCAATTACCAAAGTGTGACATTTAATGTATGTCATTTGTGAACAGTGTACAACTAGGTTTAAGTAAATTAAATGTACACCTTTTCCAACAAACAACCCTTTGAACCATGACAGTGTGACAGTAATACATCATGAATAATAACGGGACCCCAAAACTGAAAGACTAAATGAAATTCACTCTTCACTCACTTTAATAGCTAAACCTCTGCCATACAGTAACATTTTAAAATACCTTTAACGGACGGACCCATTACTGTAACTGAGATCTACATTGCATAAACCCAGGGAACTAAATAAAAATGACTTTGCATGCATTTTCAAAGCACTGTATAACGGTCTATGTAACCACTTGTACTAAACCAGTTGTACATCCATATTCTGTTAAAGATATCTGATGTAAGCAAAAGACAATGACTATGGATTCTGCAAGCCCAGTCCCATAATCGCATGTCCTGCACAAGTTAAATTTCAAACATAAACTTAATACAGTTCACTTTACACTATGCTGTCTTAAATATGATGAAGATGAGGTGACGTACAGACCACATGTTGTGCACACACGGCTCACATTCAGTCAATGACAGAAATCACTTTCATTGTGACCCTTTGTCTTAAGCCTTCACCCGTCAAAATACAGGATTGTATAGGGTTTTATTAAGGAGGTGTTATGAATTTGACCCAACAATGTCTCTACCTGGTGGAGGTTTTCAGAACTGCAGCTGAAATCTAAATGTTTTGCTGTTGCTGTCAAAACTTTGCAATCGACACTTCTTCCGGCAGATCATACAAACCTAAAATGGACAGTCTTTTAATATTCAATATTGAAAGTAACAATATTTACTTTCGGCGAAATGTGAATTCAACTGTTCAGTTATTTATGGTTTTGAATTTGAATTTCTTATATTTATTAAAGACCTATCTTGTTCTTTTTAACTGATGCTTGTTGTTGTTGTTGTTGTTGCCCTGTCCCCTTTCCCGTTGTAACACTGAAAATGTCCCTTGCTTGCAATGTGGAATGTTGTTGTAATGCTACAATGTGGTTACAGAAGAAAAGATACACTCTTATTAGATGTTGTGGCAAAAGGTGATATGAGGAGTCCAGACCTAAAAACAATTCTCTTGCATGACATTAATCCCACACGGTCAACTCTCTGACATTGTTAACGTTAAAATTGCATTAACTGGTGACACCAGGTCAGGGTGTGAAAACATCTAGCATAATGGACTCAATGAACGGTTGAGTTCAACTTAGATTGTCGACTGACGTCACAGCGTGGGCAAAACAGGGCATTTCACACGTCAATAATTGATGACTTTTATTTTGAAAACCCAACCGGACCTCCTACTTTGGCTCGTCCTCAATAATTTGACAGCAAGCAGTCAGGTCAGTCCCCCCCCGCTCGGTCGGCTGCAACGCACGTCTGCTGCTTAAGGAATGGCTTTCCTAATGGAATGCTGCACTTTCTTGGTCAATGTATTATGCATCCCCCTCCATCTGATCCAAGCCATGGGCCTGTACGAAGTATACAAACGATTCTTCCCAATCTGTTTGTACCGCTGCTCCATAATGTACAACAAGAAAATGTACGACAAGAAGAAGGACCTGTTCCGCAGTCTCTCCGAGTTCAAGAAGCCAGGCGGGCAGCTCACAATTCTGGAGATCGGCTGCGGCACCGGCACAAATTTTCCATTTTATCCGCCCGGTTGCAAGGTGATCTGCACCGACCCCAATCGTCACTTTCAGAGATATCTGAAGACGTCGATGGAAGAGAACGACCAGCTCTCCTATGAGAGATTTTTGGTGGCGTCGGGGGAGGACATGGGGTCAATTGAGAGCGATTCGGTAGACGCGGTTGTCTGCACCCTGGTGCTCTGCAGTGTCAACGACATACCGCAAACTCTGCGAGAGATTCGCCGCATGCTGAGACCAGTAAGTCATCTGCGACTCCCGAAATACCAAGGGAAGCCACTATGAAATGGCGATTTGCGGCACTGGCTTGCAGCGTTGTCGAGGCTTAAAATGCAAAGCAACTAATGGAATTCTCATTCACCAGTGGGAGTTAATAAGTAACTCGCTGAGAAATGTTTCCCCACACATGAATCAGCCAAAGTACTGGTTATTTATTCCTAAACAGGTTCACTGTGCAAACTTTGACATGTGTGACAACTTGGCGTATCAACAACACCGCGTTAGTACAATATGAACAGACTTTGACCTCATAATGCCCACGTTCCAGTGATAGGGTCAGTGGGCCTTGTAGGGAAACAGTTAATTCCGGTAAAAGATTCATTGATGTAACATGAGAAAAGATTAAAGTAATCGTTATTCAGTAATGGATTGATTTGTTTTGAAGTTTGCACAGTAAATACATAACGGAACTTTGTTGTGCAGGGTGGAGCCTTCTTTTTCTTGGAGCATGTCGTTGCAGACGCCTCAACGTGGGCCTACTTCTTCCAGCATGTTCTTCAGCCGTTTTGGTACTACTTTGGGGATGGATGTGAGGTCACCCGGGAAACATGGAAACATCTGGAGGCAGCTGGATTCTCTGATCTCCGGCTGAGACACATCGAGGCACCATTGATGTTCCTAATCAAACCACACATTGTAGGTTATGCTGTGAAATAAATTCAGTCTCACGGCGTTGGGGTAAGAATAAGCAAAGCACTTGAAGGCTCTCCTCTCCTTTGTGATATTATTGATCACCACCGGTGACAAATAACCTCCCTCTAAAATGAACTTTATTTTTGTATTGGAGAAAAAAAACGGTGTTTTGTAAAGACACAATATTAACTCATTAACACATTAACTTAAACATTAGAGACCATACGGTTTTATTTTTCACAACTACTGTTTAATTTTAGAATTGTCAAAACCGATAATGAGAATCAACATGATAATTAATGCCTTATAATAATATATACCCTTCACATGTCGAATGAATTCATGTCAAGACATGACTAAACAGATGTTTTTGCTGTGTTAACTGTGTTGTGTCGTCATGATTGTGATTAAATACTTTACTCCCGCTGCATGAACCTTGTTTCTCTTTTTAAGCGAGCATCGATATGATATAAAAAGCAAAGTCAAAAATGTGGTGCAACTGGCCTCCCGCGCGCACCACAGTGCGTTTGCTCCATCGCACGAAACGCAGACATCCTCTCTGAGGTATTAGGAGCGTAATCGTCTGATCCCGTAAGTCTCCAGCTGTAGTGGCTTTGCTCGGCTCTGCTCAGACACCAGAGGATGAAGACTTGTCTGATGAAAGCATGCAGGCTGCTCTGCGTCACGTTGACTCTACCGTTGTACCTGCTGGAAATCACGGGCCTGTGCGGTTTGTACAAGCGCGTGTTTCCCCTGCTTGCGTACAACATCACGTTTTCCTACAACGCTAAAATGCACAAAACGAAGAGGGAGCTTTTCCGAAACGTGGCCACATTTGCCAACGACGACGGCGCTCTTCGCCTGCTGGAGATCGGCTGCGGCAGCGGGGCCAACTTCCGGTTCTACCCGGACGGCTGCACGGTGACCTGCGCCGACCCCAACCCTCATTTCCAGAAGTACCTGCGGATGAGCATGGACGCGAACGCGCATTTGACGTACGGCGCGTTCGTCGTGGCCTCCGGGGAGGACATGGAGGCGGTGAAGGACGAGTCGGTGGACGTCGTGGTGTGCACCTTGGTTCTCTGCTCGGTGACCGACGTGCAGCGCGTGCTGCAGGAAGTCCGGCGCGTCCTCAGAACGGTCAGTCTGGGAACGCGGCGTTCAAGTGCTTTTTTTAGTCATTGGCTTTCCACCGATGCGTGTGAATGTTCTTTGCGCGCACACACAACGCACGAAACCGACCAGTGCTCTTACGCAATCATTTGTTTATTCAAGACTCAGGGTCCAGTTAAGACAGGACATTAAATAGATTAAATAACATTAAATGAAGCCAGGCCCACTTGTCTTGATATTGCAGTTTGCAAATCCCAGTTCCCAAAACAACATCCAAAGCCCTTTGGAGTCTTGAGTGTTGGCTTGGTAATTTGGGCCATTTTCTACACTACACACGTAGTCTGCACAGTTTGTTTTTACGATTAGACATTCAATGATCATCACAGTCAATACAAACTTCTGAACTCTCACACATCTGCCTCTCTTTCTGCTTCAGAGCCAGCAGGCAAATTACAGCCACCGCACTGTCCTGATCTGGTTATCTTGTTCTTGGTTCTTTTGCAGGGTGGAGCCTTCTTCTTTTTGGAGCATGTTGTCTCAGATTCCTCTTCCGGTACATACTTCTTACAGCATGTGTTTGAGCCTGTGTGGTACTATCTTGGAGATGGCTGCATGGTTACCAGAGCAACGTGGAAAGATCTAGAGGCTGCTGGTTTTTCTGAACTTCACCTAAAACATGTTGAGGCTCCAAGGGTTTCTAGGATGATAAGAGCACATATCATGGGGTATTCCATTAAATGACTGCAGGAAAGACGTTATTGTGCCTCTCATGGGATTCAGGAAGTTTAGACAGGGCATTTGTCACCATGAGAATATGTTTTGCTGCTCACCCGTAGCAATCGGATTATTAGTTCTCTCTCTAGATCCCATCATGTAACAACACTTTCATTGGTTCAATATTAACAATGTGTTCAAATTCAAACGTCTTAATGTCTCATGTCAACTAAATATGTACATTTTCATTTCCACTGAACAAAGTTACGCAAGCCACTGCATTTGAGTGAAAATATATTTATGTATTTACACAATCAGCAACATTTCATACAGTTTGTTCATCTTTCCCAGCCTTCCCAAGATGTACATTAATAAATATTACCTGGACACTGCTTTTTCCCTGATTGTCTAAGTAACCTCTAAAAAAACAACAAACCGCCCTCAAAGTCATTATTTGTTACCCTTTATATTCCATTGCACGAAAAGAAGGAATGACGATTGTAACATCTCCTTATAGAGAATGAGGGGAATTGCTGGTCCACAATATAAAAACAGGAATTACATTTGTGTGGGATTCATACAGTCAACATTCTGCTGATGCTGGTAGAGGATAAAAAAAAAACCTTTTAAAAACAAGGGATACATTTACAAACAGAGACTCAAAGTTAAAGCTCACCATTTCAAACCTCCCAGTATTAAAAATGTACACAACTATAAATGTTATAGTGTTAGCAAATTAAAAAAACAGCAGGCGGAACTTTATTTGTTGAGTATATCTTACTGCCATCAACTGTCACTTGTATATCAAACAGTAAAAAACTTGAGGATCTCAGCCTGAAATTAAGTGTTCCCAGAAACCCTGTTCATGTCCAAATGGCTGACTATGTCAGTCCCAAATGATGTCCCAATCAATAAGACAGGTTATCCTGTTTTAACACAATAGAGGTCCTTTAAGGTTTTGAGTTCTTCAATCAGGGTCTTGTTTTGGTTTTCAAGGACAGCTACACGGTTTTCGAGGCATTTAACATATTCCTTTTTCTTCCGTCGACATTCACGTGCTGCCTCTCTGAAAGAGGGACAAAAATGTTAGTCCAACTGAGAGATTATGCCAATAATTAACCTGCAGATAACAAGTACAGTATTTTCCCTGTTTTGAACTAAAATATATACATATTTAGCTGTTAAGCTATTCTTTAGGGTAGAGGGAACGTATCAGATAAAACTATCAGTGGTTCCTGACATGCTTTTTTAGAAGCTTAATGACATTTTTAATAGTACATTTTAGGGAAGAGAATCTAGCATGTCCATTTATGCAGTTTTGGGCAAAAATGATGTCTTTTTTGCAAGGCATTTAAAAAGGCTTTATTTTCACCAATTCTACAAATTAATATTTCAGAATTCAACATGTTTCTGAGCACCAGTCTTGTTGAGATTGTTTACAATGAGAGAGCATGGAGAAAAAAGCCAGCACCTGAAAAAAAGTGTATTTTTTCCAGGTTGAACTTTTTAGAAAAGCGCTGGTCACGGTAGAAAATGGAGAAGCTTGTTTTGTCTTTGTCGGTCTATCCTGAGCTTACACCAGATGGACAAGTACTTATCTGGCAGACGCTTAGATACCATAATAACCATTTCATTGTGTCAATTTTGACTTCTGATTTATTACCAAATGCCCCTCCATGTCTGTGAGCATCCGTGACAGTAATTGACAAAGAAATAAAACTGTGCACAAACCTGTTTTTTGCAAGCCTGATCTCCCTTTTCATTGTTGGGTCATCACTCTTGCCGTGTGAAAGTCCCATGGGAGACGTCATGACCACAGTCTGGGGCAGAGAGCTGGACGTGGGCGCTGTGCGGATCTGGTACGTTTGCACCTCTCCTCCTGCACCTGCGGGTAACATGACAGTCAAAGGTGGACAGCCTCGGTCAGAACAGCATTTGTAGTTAAAAAACAAACAAATATAAAATTAGAAGAAAAAAAAATTAAAGAAACTCCATGGATCTAAGTGAGCACTTGCATACACACATGGCTTTGTCGGAAGTTCTGTAGTCTTCTTTTTGGGGCATATTATTCCAGTGCTAACACTGAGATATTCTCCAACATGTGTGAATAAAAATCCATTAACTAATTTAACAAAAGACATGCTTCTGAAAATGTTGAACCTCGGTATTAATTACAATCTAATCTACTCTTTGAAAGTAAGGCACCTTGAAGTCAAGCCACATTCCAACCAGTAATCAAGTTGTTTCGATGTGGTAAAGACACTAAAGGTTGACTACCAGGCAAAGCTTTTATTGATACATTTCAAATATGACATGTTTGTTTACCTTGTACGACAACCTGGTTACCAGGCACGAGTATCTGCTGGCCGTCAGGGGTCTGGGCATACTGAAGGATGGTCGTGTTCTGCTGGGCTCCACCAGAGTTGGCCATGGTCACGGCCTGTAGCCCTTGAATGCCTTCAGGCGTCGAAGAGGCAAGCTGGATTGTACCGTTAGCGGCTATAGTAACTGGAATAAAGACACTTATGGCATAAGAATTGGGTAAAACAGAAGTAAAATTGACATTTCAGCTGATTAGGTTCATTTCTGAGATTTGCAGACTCTTACTCTTTTATTTTATTGGTTTAAGAAAAGTCATACAGACCTTTGGGGATAATTTCCCTAATTTTAGAAGAAATTTGGGTTTCTGATATACAATAATCTTGTGAGCATATTAACTTAAAGCATACAGAACATTTTATTTTTCACATTGATCCCAAAATTCACATTGCTAAAATACATTTTGTTATGATTAATTCTGTAGCCTGAAGATTGATAACAAATTTTAAATTTCAAAGGACAAATCATCCACTTTTTTTATGCAAGTACAAAAGAAGCAGAACGGAGAAGTTCGTACTGTACTGGCCGGTGCTGGTCTGGTAGATTTGGGTGGTGGGTGCTAGAACACCTGTAGACGCTGGGCTGTCCTTTCCCTCAACGTGTGTTACTTCCTCAGATGACAGTTCATTAAGGATTTTTCTGCAAGGTAGAAGGTCAATGGAATTGGAATTCATATTTGACGTATACGTTTTTTATAATGAGTCTTGCATTTGTGTTTTTGTTTTTTTACCTGTATGAAGGACGTCGCGCCAGTATTTCTCTGGTATTATGGGACACAGCTCCACTGTCCGATGAGTCCTGTGAATCGTCACTATCTGTATCCGGGGCCTTCAAAAAAAGAGGTAGATGGATTAAGAAAGTGAATACAAATAATGGCGTAAAATGGTATATTGATTATTATTGAACGGTATAAGATTTGTAAAAAGAAACTAAGATAGATGAATTAATCATGACATTGAGAAACAATGATTGCAGCAAGCGGTCTCACCTGGGCACTTTGCATCTGAGGAGACTGAATGACGGATGACTGTGCAGACTGGATGACCCCTTGAACCTGAAACTGGCCACCAGGCAGCTGTACAACGGCCACAGAACCACCACCCAGTGACATCTACCAAAAACACCACACCACAATATTTATTGTGCCAAAATATCATCAATTTCTGGGAACAGAAGAAATAAGTTCAGATACTCATTGCAAATGATTTGTATCAAAGAAATGTTTAAGAGGAGTTCCCCCCCAAATTCCATTGAATAAAAAGCCGATGTGAAAACTGTCAATGATGGCGGTCGATTATCTTGATCAAAAAAGACCTTGCTTTTGCAAAGATAGATGTTATTAAGTAAAAATAAAATAAAAAACAATGTAATATTGTGCACTTAAACTTATAAAGCCAGAAATATCTGCAGGATAGTACGTGACAGTGGAAAAGGTGCAATTCGGATGAACTGGTCAGTTAAAATCTCCTAAATAATAAACCTACTCACTGTACAACTTCAATGTGTATTAATACACCCTAAATGACAGCTTATAAGCCCACTTTGAATCCATAGAAATGAAGACCTGCTGTTACCAAATGCTAAAAAAAAAATAAAAAAAATGTATGGCTGTTTTTCTGGTGTAAAAGATAAAGGATCAATTTAATTGACCTCTGGTAAATTAACAAGTTAGTAAAAGAGCAACAAAGGAGTGGGACTCCACAGACTGGTCACACTGAAACGTGGATTCAGTGAGACCTAACAGGTGAGGCTGTACAGATAATATATTCTGTTGAAGAAAGATTTTTTACTGATTATGAGAATAAGCACTGTACTTAATTTGCCATTGAGCTCATTACTTCTTTGATTTTATTTGAAGATATGATTTCCTTATCAGATGACCTTCAGCTTTGCGGTTACATTTTGAAAAAAATAAAGAGTTATGCGGAAGCCCCATGATCAACATGACTCCATCTTACACCTTCATCTGTATAACAGTGCGAGTTGAATCAGAATAAGCCCACATGTATTAGCATTCAGAGGCAATAGAGAATCCTTAGTACAGTATCAAGAAAGGGATCTATTAGTTACCTGTTGGGCTATCTGTGAGAACTGAGCTGATGTGAGGGTGGTGGGAATGGTGGCAGCCTGTAACTCAGTGCCATTGCTGCCCTGCTGCACTTCTTCCATAGTAACTGGAAACAAATAAATTAATATTAGCGTTTTACAAGGCAACAAAACAACAGTCCGTGGCGCGATTGACTGCGTAGAGTACGCTGTACACATCTGCGGCCTGAGCGCGATTTGTTGAAATAAGCAACTCTTCCTGACAAGGGGCACCAGATCAAAAATATATATAAAATCACGGTTTCATACTTTGGCAAACAATTTATTCTCAAAACGAGCAAGTGATGTCAAGCCAGATAAAAAGCGGTTTCCTCTTTTGTTTGTCAACCGTGTTAGCCAATGCAACTAACGGTGACATGAAGAGGCCCGACAGTCAATCATGTGAACTTTCCCCCTTTGGGGAGTTAACGTTGAATGATAAATGTTTTCTCATTTTCAAGCGCACAGCTGAAATATAAAGTTATCCTTTCAGTCTCTGGCGCTACAATGCGCGTCCTTGCTAACAAGCCCGTTGCTAGTTACGGGTTGCTAACGTTCAGTTAAACGGATGTTAACCCATTTAAACCGTTAAAAGGAACAATTGTAAAACTAAAAGCGCGGCAAGTTTTGTAACTCTAGCTCACGGGATGGACGAGCTATAGTCTCTCTGAGCAAATATGTGCAACTCTGTCACTGGCACGCAAGTTACCGCGTCAATAGACGTCAGCGAGACGGGGAGCCATTAAGCTAACTACACCTTCCCTTTTCGTGAAACGGCTAGGAGTTGACGAAGCAACAGCCGCCATTACTGCCAGAGCGGAGCGGGCGGCGAGACGAGCACAGAAATACCGCTCAGCCGGACACAATTTACCTTTTCGGGGACCGCGTAACTGCTGTTGTTCTCGACGTGGACTTCGTGCAATTCTTGTTTATACTTTGGCGCGAGAAATAGCTTAGTAAGTTACTTAGCAGAAGTGGCTAACAGCTAAAAATACAAAGATGTCAGCTAAAAAAAAAATAGCTGACGACTTTTTTTTCAAAGGAAATGGGCGGAGCTGCATTGCGAAGACGCATTACGTAATAGCTTATTTAGGCTTTGTGATTGGTGAAGAGTTTGAGGAACTGGCAGATGTACGAGGAGAGGCTCGAAGACTCCCACTTGTTGCATACAATATAGATTGAATTGCACTAGTGATGTTATTTGTTTTATGGTACTCAGTATTGTAACCGCAAGTTACTATGTATTCATTTCAGGTGCTTCAATATTAAAATGCTATTTCCACAATAACTCATCTGCAATAGTGTTCCAATATAACATCTGGAGGCCTTATGGTGAATACTTTTACTTTGAATTCTTTAAGTTAATGCTGCTACTAATTCTTAAGCATCTTCGATATTAAAGTAAATACATTCTTTTTCTTAAGCCTTTTTAACATTGAGATGGTACTTACTCCAAATTTTGTATCACAGATTTTGCCCTCGTGCTTTTGTCCGTCTCATCTTGAAAAGAGTCCAATCTTGCACAATGTGACCGTTTTCACATTCATGTTCCCCATCTTTTCATGAAGCCATACTCAGGGGGTTTGCTCCCAAAATATTGTTCCTATCCATTGTGACAAATTCTCAAATTCCTTCACTGTAGGGATGCAAGTTGTGTAATAATGAAATGGTTCATGCTTTAAGGTCAATTTCAATAACTGATACATCAGGACTAAATTCATTAATATTGAGACATCTGAAATGATTAATGGAATTTTATTCTGCATTACTTTCACATAAAGTATAAAACAAAGAACAACAAACCAAAATAGAAAATAAGTGATAAAATGGAAAGGGGGGTACCACCTTGATTTGTTAATTATATGAGTTAACAAATACCTCTCTAACATTAAAGATTCATCAGTGGATCACGCCCTCATGGAGCAGTATAGGATTCACCAAATAATGAATGTACAACATACCGAGAGTGTATACACAAAATATTTATAGAACAGCTCAAGATAGATTATTCCAGTCTTAAGTACACTACCGGTTAGATTTCATCAGTCCTCTGTTCTTAGTTATTATAAAATGTTAACGCCTCATGTTTATTTAATCAGACTGTGCAAGCTTTGAAATGAAATTGCACTGTAATTAGGATTGCATAGTGTGTTAGAACTCTGACGGAGAAAGAGAGTGGAAACCAAAGGAAGCCCTTGTAGACTTCCCAGCGAAGCAGGTAGATGGCATTTAGACACTGTCGTCAGTAACCCCTCTTTTGCTCATTATCTTCTGCTTTAATAACAAAAAGGATTATTTTTGGACAAATGTCTACATTTTATGGGTATTATTCACAGATTGCACCAAGGGACCAGCTGGTCCATCCCTGTGTTATGAGTTTTGTTCCCTGAATATACAATTTCATACACATATATATCTCCTCCACTTGTGCCTTAAGATGAGACGTGCTTCAAGCTGATTTATTCTTGCGCTTGGCTGAATCATGCAAACATTCTGCTAAAAACAAACTATGCAACATAAAAGCTAAGATGAAGTGTTGTTAGTTTTTACTCTAGGTGTACTTATACTGGGCAAAAACAAATGCCAAGCATTATTCATCTAAAGTGGGTAACACATGGAACATGAACAATGGGTAGTTAGTCCACACAGTAGACAGCTGCTGTAAATACCACCAGTGCAAAGTGCAGTAATTCAATGGATTGTATTCTGGTTTACCTTTTAAATGATTGAAAATCTCTCTAAGATTGTGTTTGGCATGATTGTATCTATAATTGGACAATTGCAAAATTCTATAGTTAACAAAAATATTTACATGTTTACGTTAACTGTTCATCACTGAAATACATTATAATCCAATACAAATAACCTATAAATTATGGCAAGGATCACGAGGGAAGCATGACAAAACAAGAAATCAAACACATTTTGCAAATACATCTCGATGTGAATATTATTTCTTTTTTTCACCCTTTTTTACAATTACTTTACCGGCAAATCCATGTTGTTTTTCCACATGGCTCAGCTTTGCAATTGCATTCACAGGTGCTTTTAAATCCAGTGATAGAACAAAGAAAATCATCCAGATACATGATGACTTGCAAATATTGACTACAGACTCTTAAGTAGCGAAAACATGATCCTGTTAATAAGTTGCACAAATACAAAATACAATTTGAATGAACTTTGAGTATGAAAAGGAAAAGCAAGGCAACACAACTCTTAAACACCTGCTCTATTTTGCAATTAAAAAATGAGACGTGTTTAACTGTCGGATACAACGGATGCAAAGTAAATGGCAATGAATATTAGATAAAGAGTTCTGGGCCTATTTTTTACAAAATAATCCGGTAGCCTGAAGTCATGATAATGGTTTTTAACCAAGTATTTGTTTCAATGGCAGACAGGATAGTTCCCTGTAATTAACAGTGATAGCCCTCCTAAGCTCTAAAGCTCTTCAAGCAAGAATCCTCGGGATAAAATATGCTCCTTAAACTTTTGTTAAAATGCCTTATTGGTTCATAATAAAATAGATACATTTTGAGAAAGTGCAATATTCTATCTACCCTGACTTACATTGCTTTATAATTAATTATCTTTAACTTTCATTATACAACTAATATTCCATTTCAAAAGTACTGTCAAATCTTTTTTTTATTTACAATGCTCTCTCTGCCATAATTGTAATCCATCTGCTATCCATAAACCATGAACTGAGAGAGAAAAGTCTAGCATTTATACATTTATACAATTAAAATATATCTATACAGCAACATAGTATCTAAAATACAACCGGCCTTTATAGGTACAGTACAGAATATGGCCACTTTTCTCGTTACCTTGATCCATTTGGGTATCGGTTTAGGATTTCCACTACTCGTCAGAGTAGTCAAGTAAACAGCCGTCAATAACAGATTCATTAAAAATCAAGGTAGGAATGTATGGGTGAAGTTTTTTTAAGGCAGGAAATATTAGGGCAGGAAAGTTGAGAAATTGTTTTTGGCTTCAATATCATGGGACTTTCTAAATAATGCACACAAACTGAGACTGGCTACTTGTTCTATTGTTTGTTTTCATCTGCCCCCTTTTGTTCATCCCTGGTAGTGAGAAATTAGCAAATGCTCAGTGCATGTGTGTGTGTGTGTGCGCACGTGCACGTGTAATATTTCAAGTTGTTTATCCAAGTTTAATAGCTCTTGGTATTTGTATGGAAGCAGAAGGGAAAGTATTTTACGAGGTTTGTGGTAGAGACAATGGACATCTTTTATAGAAATTATTTCCAGAGTGGTCCTGTCCCGTGTTTAACCCTTTTCATAAAAAAGTGCAACAGGGTTTATTTTTTTCCTTTGCCCTAAGTACAAGTTGCTTCTGTCCCATTTGCTAAATTATATCCATAAAACACAGTGAAGAACTCCCAACATGGCAGGTCCAATCACAGACATGCAGTGGCCGATATATGCTGGTGTCACACGGGGCCGGGTGGCGATACGTGTGCTTCATGCTTTTCCTTTGTCTCCTCTGGCAAAGCTGCGGTCAAGCGTTGGGGTGGTGATGCAGAAGCATCCAAAATGTGGATGATGTCTAAACAAGCCCAAACCAACACAACCCCTCACATATTGTAAGCAACGTAGATGGGATCCAGCTGGTCGGCGAGGAAAGAGTCACGAAGGTGCATGCGTTGCTTCTCTCCCCTGGAGTTGATGGGTATGACGCCGGGATCCACAATGACCACCACGCCCACAATAAGGTGGTGCTCCTCCAGGACGGCGTTGGTTATCAGAGGCACGAGGTCCAGTGCATCCTGCTCTGAACCACACAGCTCTGACACCACCACCAGCAGGTTGGTCCACGTAAACACAGCACTGCGAGGAACGAGAACCCAGAAGCAGCGTTACTGTTGGACCATTTCGGGTCAGACGTGTATCCGCTTTCTTCACGGTGCAATTCAATGCATCACTGTGTGCTATTGGAGCAGTTTGGATTTTAGTGGTGGATATTACTGTTTTCCTACAAAAGTTCCTAAATGTGTTTGTCCGGTGGGTATGTTTTGTATATCGGGAGCGTTCTCACCTCTCAGCTATACTGCGGTGAGCCCGGGACACTGAAATTTCAATGTCAGTTGGGTGGTAGCGCAGCCCTCGAAGCTCCAGGGTCTCATCCAGTGAGCCCACCACGAAGAGAGCATCGTGCCGATCTGAGAACAGAAATGCCAAATAATAGAAACACAGAAAAAAATGTAACAGCCAGGAGTGTTAATATTCTACCGCGTAACAAATTCATCTGACTGTCTCAATCTATTTTGTTTTAAATGTAGACTTGAGGTGTGTCAGGGTCTACTCACCCCCGTTGGCCTCTAACAGCTCAGTCCTCTTCACAAAACCCAAGTATCCCGTCCTGGCCCACAAGGTCTGCGGGTCTCCAAAGCTGAGCTTGGTGTTGAAGTGGTTGGCCTGAAGACTCTCCTCTCCGTAGATGGTGTAGTAGCCACTGGCATTGTGAGGGCTGTTCACCCAGATCTGAGCGAGCAACACACACACCAGGTAAGGGCTCACCCACTTTCATGTCAAGATGCCGTCATTTTGTGTACTTTATACTTCTCACCTCTCCTAGATGAGAGTCACCAAGTGGACCTCGGGTCTCGGGATTTACTATTATTACCCGAACACCTGGTAGTATCTGTGGATGAAAAAAAAAGAGTTTTCACTGGTACACATGAACCACTCTTCATAATAGTAATTCATTGAGTGAATTTGTACTGTTCATTTATTATTGCGAATGGTCTCACCTTGCCAGACTCCATTAGAGGAAGACTCTGAGGCGCTCCTCTCTCCACCAGCCTGACTCTAAATATGAAGATGTATACAATGAACTTACAATCCACACTCTAGTTCTCAAACATCAACTAAGAACCAGAACTCAGCGAAACCCAGTAGCCCGGACTTTTTAAATTGAAAAGGATCACCTTGGGATCCTTGTTCATTTAAACCTGTCGCCTTGGTTGAAATCGTCCACGTGTTCTTACCTGTCATGTCGAAGGGACTTCATGTCCACATAAACCGTACAGGGATCCGGACCAGTAGTGCCCTGTAACACAGAAAGGTCCCGCTTGATCTCATCCATGTACAGTTCAAAGTGTTCTTCTATGGGAAGTCAGGTGAAGTTGGATGCTCTACCTGCAGACAGACGGCCAGGTTAACCCGCGAACCAAAAGTGGTGCTGACAGCTCTGGACGACAGGCCGATGTCCTTGAACAGCTTCGTGAAGGAGTGTGAGAGGGCGAGTCGAGGGCGTTCCTCTGCTATCACCACACAGCTTCGCACACAAGACAGGCTCACACCACGGGCCTGAAACACACCCAGATAAAATGATTCAATCCTTCAGGAACGTTACCTATCTTTTGTTCATGATTATCTCTCTCAATATATGCATATGTATGTATGCATTCCTCACCTTGAGTAGCTCAGTCTGAGAGCCCAACCCTTTGGTGCAGAGCTCCATGACGGAGTAGGAGCAGAAAGTGTCTCTGATTCGATACTGACTGAGTGTACTCAGCCACAGAGACAAGCAGCTCTCCAACTCAAAGGGAGGAATCAGGACAGTTTGGTGACCTGAGTAGACACTACAAGACATGAGGAGAGAGAGAAGAATTGGATGAATGTTGGGGGAGAACTACAACACAGATAACCTCACTTCTTAGCATACGCATGTAAACGTGTGTTGTAGGTTTACTGCACCTTGCCAGGCACCACAAGACGAAGCCCAGACCACAGTAGGGGTCCAGGCAGATGGCTATTTGGCGAGAGGAGTACAGTTCACACTGCAGCTTTACAGAGCGACAAAGTGCACTGACCGCCGCATGAGAGATCTGCAACAAACAGGAAGATGCATTAGAGAAGTCAAATGCCACCCTGAGGATGCTAGAATTTATTTCTGTCAAACAGGCTTGGCTTCCTCTATTCTGTGAAGTATTTTACATGTTAGAGTAGTACACCTTTTCCAATGCGACATAGCATATAGCACAATTCTGTTACATTTACACGTAACATGAATGTACAGAGTTATATTGAATTTGATGTCTTAAGATTGACCAAGCAACATATAGCATTTATTTATTTTCTTTCTGGCCCCTTGCTGAATGTCTATACCAATATTCACTCTCTGTTAGCTCCAGTCCTGTGGGTTTTAACAACAGTCTAAAACAGTCTAAATCTCTTTAGAGCAGAAGATTTGGGGAATTACTGTAGATTCATTATTATTGGCGAATTCTTTCTATAAATGATCATTTTATACGCATCGCCTTTCAAAAGGAAACACTGCAGCATTTGAGAGCGAAGATTATCTGTCTCACCTTAACCCCAGTGAGCATGCCTGTAGTGGACACACTGAAGTCCAGATAAGCAATCATCTCTGCTGTGGGCGGTTTATAGATCTGGGGAGGCCGGCGACGAGGAAGGTCATCTGCAAAAAATGACAGAACGAATGTTCAATATGTTGAGCAATAATGACGCAACACAAATAAACCAAACAGATGCATCGTTTAATTGCTCTGAGATAATAATACTAGAATCAAATACCAACTAATTCAAATGTTGTTCATTGGAGGTTAACGTAAGATAACATACACATGCTACAAGGAAAACAGTAGACATAAAGTATGTATCAAGCACTTCTATATCTATGTTTGCTCAGCCCATAATGTTTGTAATAACTGGAGAAAGTACTGCAGAGAAACGCCCACTTCCTGTTCTTAACGCTGCAAATGGTCAACAATAACTGACACGAGCACTTCTGACAGCACTTTAGACACATTACCAACTTAAGATGCACTGTGACAACTACTACAACAACAGATATTACTTTTAATTTGACCAATACGAAAGTCACTTATTGTAAACATGTATTGTTAATTCAGGAGTACAGTTCTGTCTTAATACAAATACTTGAAACTTCTCACAGCAAAACAGATTTAGTGTCAAAAATCTGTCAGTGATACTGCTTTTCCTTTTATGAAAAAATGTTTTGGCTTCTTACCTGTGTCAATGATTGTTGGCCACGTTTTAATGTTAACTGAAGCAGCAGCCTCTTTGGAGCGCAGAGTCCTCATGAGACCTTGAGTGGTGAGGATACATGCAGCTTTACTGACCTGGTAAAAAAGCATAATAATTAAGCACACATACACCATTGCACATGACATGATTGACCTTCTACAGCCCAAAACATACTGAATTCCTGTCGCAGATAAAACATTAATTTTCAGAAAAAAAACTTTTTAAAACTTAAAAAGGATATTTCACAATTAGAAAATACAAACTTATGACAGGTTATTCCATATAATATCTACACATAGGCCACAACGCGTAGGTCAGTGAGTGCACACACATTTAGGTACACACAAACCCATGAGCATGCAAGAAGACACACGCATGCACAAAACAGAACACACTCACATCAATAATCATTCGGACAGTAGGAAGCGTGGCTGCCAGGTTCTGAGGGTGCGGTGGTCTGACGTTAACGGGAACGCATCCAGCGTAAAGACAGCCGTAGAAGGCAGCTATCAAATCAATTCCTGAGAGAAACATAGAGGACAAGTGGTGGAGTAAAAATAAAGAAAGACAAGGAAACTTATTATAATTAATTGTAAGGGGATTAAAATCGATGGACGCAGACAGGAAGAAAGAGGCAGAACCCACCGGGAGGATAAAGCAGAACCACGTTCTCTCCGGTGTTGATGCTGCCTTTCTCAGTGAGAGCTGCGGCTATTTTCTCTGCCCGCTTGTGCAGCTGGAGGCAGGTCGCTGTGCTCACTGTGACACCCTAAAGGAGAGGAGTAATACAATGAGGCAGGAATACAACGTCACCGAAAACACAACTAGCAATATCATCAGTCCTGTGTATTACAGTCCAGGTATACGTACATATGTATATATACATATGTAGGTGTTTCTCTGCATATGATACCTTTGCATTAAGAAGAACAAAGAGGACGTGGTCTGCGTCTGTCTGTGCCCTCCACTGTAGAGCCTCCGTCAGATACTGATGCTGAAATAAAAAGGAAATACTAATTAGATATACTGTATATTTGAGATTGTTCTTCTAATCAGGGAGGAGTTTAGTGCTGATGGAACAAGTTAATACACCTGAATAAAAGAACAAGGTGTGGTTCAGAGACCGCATACTTAAATAATAAATGATCTCTTCCCAACGTGCAAATAATTTCAACCACATACTCAAAGCCAATACTGCCCTTAAAATAAGGCGTACGTCTAGTAACAGAGAGTTGGAATAAACATGCAAAGCTTTGCTTGTGTGACATTTTAACACAAGCACACAAAATAAAACCACAATACAACAATGTGACAGGAATAAACCAAAGGCGTGGGGAAGATGCTAGAGGGGCGCCATCATTCTTACCATCACAGTGGGCCACATACAGAGCTACATCCAGAGAATGAGGAGAGCAGAAAGAGAAAAGAGTTTTTTCTCATATAAAACTGAGCTTGTTTGAGCCTGAAAGCCTCTAAGCTCCACTATCTATACTATAACATGTATGAGCAGCGCTACTGATCATGTGTTTTCCTGCTGACGTTAAAGAACATGCATGCATCTCTTCAGAAAGTGGGAATGTTTTCAGATAAAGAGTTAGTGAATGGTTGGAAGTGAGAGCCACACCACTCATGGTCATGCTACCTTTCGGACGAGATCCTGGTCGTCGATCACGCCGAGGTCCCTGCCGGCAGCCTGGGCGATCCTCTTCCCCGCCACCAGGTTGCCCACCATCACGGACGCAGGACCAACACCAACTGAACGGGAAACGCAGTGTAAAGTGTCAAACGGAGTCCTATCATTGTATTCATGACGTCTAACATATTGTTCTTTTCCCCCGTATTTCATTCATGTACTTCTTTGTTTTTAATGGATTGCTGTTTACTGATTGGTTAGTTTCTTTTCGTACTTGATGTTGTCAGTATTTTATGCTAGAAATGTTCAAATATGAAAAAATATGAAGAGGATTGGAAAATAGAATTGATAGTAACACTGCATATTTCCCAATAAAACACCCACGTAAACCCGAGTTAGAATCCTGTTAGAATCCAAAAGAGAGTTAATTTGTAGACATTCTAGACTGCTTTAGTGAGTCTAGAATGTCTGAACACTGATGTATGCCGATTGCGTGACATTCATTGAACTTTGCCGCAGCCAAGGCCAACTACCAGAAACATTGCTTTCCCAAATTCAGAAACTGTTACGTGTGCACATTATGTAACACTACTGACCATGCCCCAATTTCACAAAACACTTCATGACCCTGAGTGACCCGCACAGGCGGAACTTCAACAGTGACTCTCATCTTTGGAGGATCGGCTGCAGATAAGTGCTGCCTACCGGGCTGCTTCTGCCGGGGCTTCGGCAGGTTGGTGACACACGTGTGGGGACACATTAGGATGTTGCAGGGGTGCAAGTTGCCATCTAAGAAGAACTGCTTGGTGTCAGAGATGTGGATGCCACCCAGCGGGGTTTTAGGTAAGGTGTTGGCCGGGACCAGAGCCAGACAGTAGAGGCCCACCTGGTGGATGCTGTCGATAGCCTGCAGACAACACAAAAATAACTGAAAGTGACCAAAGTGCCTCTGTTTGTATATTACAGACGGTCACTGGATGCTAGCGGTGTAAGCTAACAGCAACAACATGTGATTTACTGTTAAAGTTTGGCTGTTTTTCATATTTAATTACAAAACTAGATGTGTATATTGTCTCCAGTTACTTGAACAGAAGCTGCTTCACAATAAAATCATGAGAAAGAAGAAGGTGAGCGGATTTACCTGAAGCACTCGGCTCATCCACTGGAAGCTGTCCTCCTCACTTGCATCCGGCCTCTGCTCCGCCACAATCGCCACTCTCTCATCATAAAACACCGTGACGGAAAACACAGCGATTCTGAAACAAGAAAAAAAGACACAGACAAATATGTTGAGGGTGTGAAGGTCAGGAATCTATAAGCAACGCTACCATTTCATCCAGTGGTGCCCCGTTATGAGCAGCTGTGCCTCTCTTACGTATCAACAGGTGTCACTGGTGATTAACTAGGATCCACACTTAACCAAGACAGCAGCATCTTCCAGCTCACATTTCATATGAGAGGAATTTAGTGTTGTCCTCACCTCCCACGGTACACGGTCTTGACTGGCTCAACGGCCAGAGCGGTGGCCACCAGGTCATCAGCATTGTGTCTCCGACCGCTCACCATCAGCAGACCCTCGATCTTCCCCACCACAAAGATCAAGCTGCCCTGCACAGCGGGGGTGAGACACACAGTGAGGTCGTTACGCTGTCGGTATAAAGACCCATTCGCCGACAGAGAGAGAAACGACTAAAGTCACCACGGATGTACTAGACGGTTCAACTTACTGGGCCGACGAACCCCAAGAGTCCCGACCGCACAAATGGTATCTCTCCAATGGGAACTCCATTTGAGTTAACCGGTATCACCTGAACACAGATGCACAGGAATACATTAAAGCAATACACAAATGAATTGTTGGGTTGTGAATAATGTAATGTTACTTTCTTACCTCAAAGGTGTTTTTGGTGACCCCAGGCAGGCCGTAGTACATGTTGCCTCCAGCACGGGAGTTGATTATTATCTCACCAATCTCATCTGTTTTACAGAGCTGAGGAGGTCCATCTGGCCTAACAGTGCACATCAGGGCTGGAGACACACAATGGCAGCATTCAGACATCTAATATATCTAATAGACTTCATAAATTGACATTGCACATTTCATCCCAGTTTGCTTTAACTATGACTTTATCCTTCTGGAAAATAAAGCTGAATGTGCAATAATATCTAAAGCAGATATTCTTTTATTTTGCTACTGAGGTTTCAGGAGGAGCATTAAGGATGGTCATGAATTTGTGTGTCATGACTGATTGAAGGACCCAGGACCACTGAGATAATGTAAATACATACACAGTCTTTCATTTGTTTTTGATATCTCCCTTTTGACTTATTTATTTTTCCTTCTAACCTCCAGGCATGACGTGCCCGACGTCTTGTACAGTCAGGGCCGAGTTCTTGTCCTCTGTGTTGACCCTGATGACACCGTGGCTCAGGCCGCCCAAGGAAAGGATGGCACGGGCAGGGAGCGGCGTGCCCGGTACTCCCGGTCTGCGCAGGGGAGAGCTCGATCAATCATGAGCATTTACATCCGTCCCATCTGTTCATACCCTTAACCATCTGTCAACAGTCATGTCCAGTCACTCAGTACAAATTACAATCATTCTTGAGTGAACCAGTCTGTCGTGCTTTCTTTCTTTACATGGGTCTTGGTTTGAGCTGAAATGTGAGGTAGGTTGGGCTTAGGGAAAGAAGCAGCCTTTTTTGTTAAGTCTGTCTTTTTCCCCTAATATCACTATTTTACAAAAAAAGAAAATATTGCAAACCTGCGTATAGCTACTGTCATAGCCTCGGGGGAGGTGGCACAGGGACAGATGACCTCAGGTTTCAGCCCGTGGGACTGGAACACGTTCAGGAAGGCATCACAGGAAGACACCGACCCTTGAAGGCAAGAAGTAAGGATTTGACATATTACATCTCATTTGTGTCGCTTGAAAATACCTCTTTTTACAAAGCTGGAGCGTCACAAAGTACTCACAGGGGTTAGCACCATCAGCAACAATCAGCATACGTAAAGACGCCAGACTGGTGTCTCTCTGTTCACGGTGAGCCATCATGGCCCAGTGTAGATCACGGCACTTCACCAAAGCTATACGAGCTGCTCAAGAACAGTGGCACGTCAGGTAACGTCAAAGGTTTATCATCGATTACTCTCATACGGAACAACTCAGGCTGATAGCAGTGTTACCTTTGTGAATGTGGACCCTCTGTACCCAGGAGAGAGGACACGCCTTCATTACTGCGTAGGGAACACTGATGGTGTGTATCCTGTTCATCACAGCCTGGAAACAAACAAGACCTGATTAAGCAGCTAATATAATGTGATATTCTTTTTTTGGTTCTTTTTTTAATTTTGTTTTAAAATTACAAAAAGAGAAAAAAACACATTTACCGTAAGAACTCCGTGCCACAGGCCCATATCCTTTTTGAAGTCCAGGACATTCACCAGCGTTTCCCCTTTAAAGACACACGTGACTTTAGACAATTACGTTGATGAGGACAGCTTCGATGGTGCACGACGATGACTCTTCCCCCACCTTCACTGTAGTTGCATGCCTGCGTCAGCGCCTGGCAGTGGGTCAACATGGCTACTTTAGACACAGCCACACCCACAACTGTGCCATCTTTACTTGCCTTGTACTGAACAGAGAGGAAACACAAGAGTGAGTGTGAATACCTTTGTCAACGTCCAGGTCAACTATATTTTCTCTTTAAGAGCAGTAACTGGTTATTAGAATCAGCCGACCTACCAGTAAGCAGCTTTGTTACCTCTATATATGACGGGTCGGTGTTGGCAGTGGGGATGTGTGGTTGCCAGTCTTTGGAAGGCTTGGTCAGGTATTTTGTGTCCGTCACCACCCACTTTAGTCGAGGCCAGCCTGTCAGAGAAAAAAAGGCATCAATGAAATCAAGTGAAATGATTCAAATTAAAACACACAGTACATTCTACAGTCTGAAGGTTACCTGGTATGTTTTTTACAGAACTATTTAACAAAGTAGTTTTAATAAAGATAAATGACAGAGCAAACCTTTGAACTGCAGTATTTCCCCGGTCGGTGTTTTGGGTAAACCCTTCAGACAGATCTCACTAGTCAGAGCCAGACCAACACCACAGCTACCGAGCAGAAACCCCACCTGGCAGATCCCTGCATCCTGAAAACAACACGCACACAAAACACACATGAAAAAACATTCACAGTTAAACATCCAGACATCCGCCCTCACAAAAGCTGCATGTCTGCTGGATTTCTTACTTTGCGAGACAGCGGTACTTCAATAGGTACAGGTATAACTTCAGCTAGCAGGCAGCCGTAGAAGGCTACCCAGAACATCCCAGGGTCACTGTTGGGGTAAACCAGCGCCACCTGCCAAGACATTAAACTGCATTCAGCACCTTGTTGCTGCAAAGCGTAGTATACCTGTTTGCCTCAGCTTGTCGTGCACATTGTGAGCGCGCTCTCTCGCCTTGTCTCCAGGTTTGAGGATTTGCTCGTTCTTGGTGCCCAGCTTGTTCAGGAGAGTGTACGCCAGCTTCACGCTGCGACTCCACAGCTTTCCTGACAGACAGAAGGCGGAGCGGGGAGGAGGTTGTTGAGGAGGGGAGGTTATACGTCTCAGCACTGCCAAAATAAATCTCATGTCACAAAGTAGAGTCCTGTTTCTAACCATATGTCAGTGTATAAAGCGGTTTGCCCGTGATGTCAAGAGCGGTGAGGGCGGGGCTCTTCCCCTGAGTGGCCCCCCAACGGGCCAACGCCGCCTGCAGGGCTGGGGGCCAGTTACTGACCACACCCAGAGGCTCTCCTTTCACCGGCATGATCTGGCGGCCCTCCGGCTTGGGCGTGTTGGGGTCCGGCTGGGGCACTGTGAGAGGCAGAGCATGTATGTAACAGATTAATGAGGTCATTCTAGGATGCTAACAGGACAAAACAAGGCCCATGCATCACTGCTGGCTTATACTCTAACGGCGTTTCACTGATTCAGCCTATTGCTTGGCTTTCTCTTTCCTCTGTGTAATGTATGGATCATCCGTGATGGCTTGGGTAAGACTGTGTGCATAGTCTACTTGCATACACAGTACATGTATTCATGTATTCATACTTTTTTGTATATGTTCTAATAGCACTAAGAATTATAGTTATAATCACATAATTAATCATGAGGATTAAACACACACATTATAAATCATTATAAGGTTCACACTACTTTTTGTACTCCAATCGAGTTTAGTACCCAAAATGTATTTATTTTAATATAGATATGTCTGCACAAGTCTTTGAAACTCAGATTTCAGTAAGGGGCCCCTTGCGAGGACTGTCGTTGAAATGTTTCCTGCGTACCTTCCACGATCTCCTCAGCGTCGTCGGTGAAGAACTCGCTGAGGGGAGGCCTCTTGGGCCTCTTCAGGGTGTTGAGCAGCTGCTGGATCTTAGTAGACACTCTGCTGTTCACAGGAACTCCTAACAGGTGGGCGGAGAGGGGCGGTGGCAGGAAACACACGGTCACACACGCGATGGCTTGAACATCGATCGGCACAACACTACACGTCTAAACTTCTTACCATCTCATTGTCTGCTGCTCTTCATCCCATTACACAAGAGACTGTATTCTTTAGTTGAGATTGAATTGCCAATAACATGATTTCATATCTTGTGGGAATGAAAAGCAGCACAAGTAGGTGGCACCAACACGAGGAAAACAGTGAGAGCTTTTGGTTTGGGATCACACGTGAGGATTCATTCTGCGTGAGGATTTGGATTTTGTGGCATTTATTAGTCATTCGCTAAAAACGAGGGGGGAGAGTAAGGGTGAAACAGCAGACACAGAAGGCTACAGACATTAAACATTAAGGTGTTTCCTTACTCTGGATATTACCTCTTGCTATCAGGTAGTCAATATGACAGGGCAGAGAAAGATCAAGAAGAGAAGACAGCAGTAAAGTGTGATTAATGGTACATCACTGTTGAAGGGCAACACTTATTTTGAAGAGAAATTTGTGTGTGTGGTCGTTACCGTCCGCGGTCTCCATCATGCTCGAGCGGCTCTGTCCACGGCTCATCCCTCGGACCACAGCGTTCGAGGGCAGGTCAACCCGTGGACCTCTCGATGGAGGGGCCACAGCTGTCACATCTGGAGGGGGGGCACTGTTTTCTGATGGAGCTGCAGCTGAAGCGGGGGATGACAGTCAGGAATGAAGCCATCCTCAAGTTTCACTTTGCCTTCTAATAACAATAGCTGGCACTGGATATTAAACAGTTAAAATATAGCAAAATATAGGATTCTTTTGGAGTTAAACTTTCAGTGGGACGGCCTCTACATTATAAACTCGCACTAATAACAAAATTGGTGTCCATGAACATCTTAGTCATACATTTGGGTCTCACCTATGCGACTGTGAGCCAGCATGCCCGTGATAGCTGCAGTGTGGGCTGAGGGCTGAGGCTGGTGCTGAGGCTGAGGCTGGTGCTGAGGCTGGTGCTGAGGCTGGAGCTGAGGCTGGTGCTGAGGCTGGAGCTGAGGCTGGTAGTGAGGCTGATACAGAGGTTGGTACTGCGGCTTGTACTGCGGCTGAGGCTGAGACTTAGGCTGGCTCTGAGGCTGCGGCTTGGCCTCTCCGTGTGACAAGGTGGAGGAAGCTGAGGAGGAGGTGGAGGAGCCCTGGACAGTGCGGTTGATCCAAGAGTCCGGGCTCTGCAGGTTGGGATTGACCACAAGCGAAGTGGGGACCACGGATGACTGCCTGCGCGCAGACGTTTCATCTTCAGATCCTGATGAGGAGTCTGAGAGCAAGAGAGAGAGAGAGATTTAATATTCAGCTCGATATCCTCCTAACTCAATGTCAATAATTGTAACAACGAAGCAGGAGGCCTCTCCTTCCCGTCCTACCTGGTGGTGTGCGCGTTTCGATGGGAGATGGGACATAAGTGGAGCGTCGTTTAGTGGGCATGGGCAGGGCCATCTTCTCCTCCTTATGTTTAGCCAGGGCAGCTTGTACTGCCTCCGAATGGATGTCTGCACAGACACAAAACAAAAAACCTTTTTGAGCGTGGAACTCGCCTTTGCGTTTGATTCAACGCAACAATTAAACAAAAACAATGAAAACAGTTCAAACAACAATACAAAAATGCCTAATTTTCTAAATAACTGCTTTTTGAATAATGTTATGATTGAACGTGTTGTCAGTGCTCCAAAGCAGTGGCTCTAAAAAAAACCCCTAAAAGCCCTTGCCAAAAAATATGGTCAGTAGGGTATTTAAGTTTAAATCGTGGTTTTATGACAGGGAAAGGTTCCCGACTTCCTTTTAGGAAAAATTCCCACTGGAGAAAAAGTAGTTCATGCAGTAAATTAATTATAGAATTGAATAGAAGGTTGTGAGAAGAAGAAACAATTGTATTATTTTTTGTTTTCCTGTCATTTTTGTCATTTTTGTCAGCAAACAGTGAGCCAGTTTCAGTGAGATATGTCGACAAAAAAAACATTTAATCCTTAAAGGATGCCTGTTTTTCCACTGAAAGCGGAAACCACAAGATAGACAAACAGGGTTTTAACCCACACACTTGCCTACACAGTGTAATAAGTACAGATATGCTCTCACTTGATGACACCCACGGGGACATTATAAAAGACCATGTGAACAGCCACACATTTAGACTAAAACATGCAACAAAAGCCCACTCACTGACAGAGCCCACGTGTATTTACTCAGGGGAGACAGATTCCATTGAACACATTTAAATAAACCATCAGGCACGGATCGTCACACAGCGGCAGACGGGTCATAATTACATAACTGGCTTTCGGTTGAAGAGATCGCTCTGCACTAAATCAACTTCATAATGTCCAATTGTCACACAGGGACGTCGGGAGAGGCCGACCTCTTACACATGAGGGCCGTCTCCGTGGCGATAAGCACGGTGGATTGTGCGGTGGGTTTTACATCAGCTCCTGATGAATGGGCATCTTTCATGAATACCTCTTTGGTTTACTATTATGCTACCTATGTGGAACATGAACGTGTAGCTGTAGATATTGTATTTTGGAGAATGAGGGGAGGCAATGAGAGGTAATTCAAAGGCTTTAAACTATATTGACAGCCCATAATAATAATATTTTAAAGAACTTGCTGTGTTTTGTCATTTGCTCACTATTATGTGTTAGGTGTCTTTTAAAACGTTCTATTTGTTAGCAATGATAGCAGCGTAGCTCTGGGGACCCCATTGGTTGTCTGACTAAAGTTTCTCATCAACTTTGCCACGTGCAAACATTTATAGTTCTAAGTAAGAGGAGGAAGCCTAGACGTTGGTGATCCTCTGACCTTTCCTTTAGTGCCATCAGGTCAAATTTTGGATTTGTCAAATTCCTCGCTTTATAGCTGAAAGCTAGCAACACTGATGACATTCCCAACAACCACAGCTGTGATTTTGGTAAAGCGTTAATATATAAATACAGTAGGTTTGTGAAGTTCAGATTTAAAACATCACAGTAATCATTACACCTGCGTAACATCAGTTGCTGGCATTGTCATTGTAAGCATGTTAGCATGCTGATTTAGCAGCTGGCGCGGCCGTGGTCTCTGAGCTGTAGCCTGCTGGTTTGTATTAGCTAGACTTTCATAAACTGTGTGTTCATCTCAATCAATCTTATCTAGTATCTCTTCAAAAAGTGCCACTGTGGAAGAAAATTGTAGTGTTCATGAGACTACATTTACTTACTTAGATAAATTATATTAAATTATTAGAATACCACAATAAATCCCATTTATTAGAAGTAAAAACACAGGTAGGTTTGGGAGGTAGAGCTGCATGGATTAAGTGTATTCATAATTTACAAAACTTGAAAGTGATTCAGCCAAATGGCAGTTATTCTTGTGTTTCAAATGTCAATGTGTGGATATCACAGAGTAAACTATTGATTGTATTAGAAGCAATGAATAAATGAGTGAGGGAAAGACCCTTCACTGATGATGGATGACCGGCCTTTCTGCTTCCTCTGAAGGCAGCTTAGTGCTTTATCAGAGCACCACTTGCAACTGTCTTACACTGTGAACATATCATTGAAAATGCAACACAATGTTAAGGTCAAATCATAATTAAAAGAGAAGCAACACTGCTCTCACACCTTACACTCCTGGAAACGTATACTGTGTGTATGTAGGTATAGATGTATTTGTGGATGTATCTACTTTAAAAAAGCCTCTTGTGGAAAAGGTGTTGTAAAAGGTTTAGTTACAAACACTAAACACAGTGAATCTAGTTCTTGTACATAATTGTGTGCCACAATTCTAATGCCACTGTGATGTCCATATCAAATAAAGGGTAAGGGTTAGGGTTAATAAAATAAATAAATACATAGATGGATGGCTCTTTTATATGGCATAAGGCTCATATTCCTTTCCTTCAAGCTGTCTCCTTCAACCAGTCAGTCCTGGTACATTTTTACTTCTACGCTGCACTTTAAAGCCCAAGACAATGCTGCACTAATTCCATCAGCCCGTTCTTGATATAATGCACAAATCTCAATCATGCATCTATTTTTCAAGCTCTAATCCTCGCTGTGTTGAATCCTTTTCCCCCGATCTCCTTCTGAATCCTTCAATCGGATAATAAAATATTCTGATAAAGTATTCGCTTACTGTTTCGATTTGTCATCGAAGCATCCAGCAGATCAGAACAGATTTGCGATCTGTAACAGGCTGGAGTTTAAGGGTGTTTCCGAGTGAAGAGAATTAAGGAAACAAACAAATTCTGGAGGATGCTTTTACAGATTCAACATAATAACATCCTCTTCATAATGCTCTGCGCCCTTTGACCTTAACTCTACTGCTCTGTTATCTTTTACCCCTTTCAGCAGCGTCGGGTTTTCCCCTCCAGATCAGTATCCCCTCTGTTAACCTCTCACATAGCTAGAGAGTGATGTCACAGACTTCCGAGATTGCTTTCACGGAATAGGGGCCCTTGTAGACCAGCTTCCGAGCTGCAGGGTGTCTCGCTCTCTCACACACACACACACACACACACACACACACACACACACACACACACACACACACACACACACACACACATTTCTTTAATTGGTCCCTTTGAAACAGCCCAGTGTCTGAGTTTCAAAACAGGCTGGCTCAACTACTGCAGCTGAAGCGGTTTACCGTGAAAGCTGTAAAGTCACAAGAAGAACTTACACGTCCTCAGTGCGTAACAGGAGTTTTACATTTGGGGTGAAAGAAGCTGAAAGTATTTTTTTGATGCTGGAGCCCTGACCTGATCTGTAGCGGTCGTCCCTGGTTCCTCCACTGCGATGGGTCTTGCGGGTGCGTCGCTCTCGGTAACGGGACGAGCTGGAGGGAGGAGGGCCGTGACCGGAGGAGGAGCTCGGAGCGGGAGGCTGTCTGTCATTCTGACGGGGTGGCTCAACTGTCAAACGAACACAATAAACATGCTTTTATTTTATTATTAGCACATGAGGATCTTCCTGATCCATCTTGTTGCTGCTGGGGTTAACTAAGGTATAGCGATAAATGGATCAATTGCTATTTAAATTAACTCTACTTAACTTCGGCCTCTTAGAAACAAATCTTTTGATGGTGAAATTCCCATGTCAAAAGTTTTAAAATGGTTATATACTTTTTACAATTTTCTATTCATTTCATTCTATTCTATTATTCAATAATGTACTTAACTTTTACAGGATGTCGGATATTGTGTATGGAATAGATCATGCTTTGACTTGAATTATTTTGGAATTTAAGTTACTGCCCATCTATTGTTTTTCTGTTTTTCTAATTATTATTTTTTACCTGTCAAACAAACCATTTGATTCTTCAAATAGAGACGCAGCTTCCACCAGATTCGGCATACAGGGACAATATCTTATGATTTGTGCTGCACCATCAGTGAGATGAGGGGAGATTAGAAGCGAGATGGCACCACTATGAGGCACCAGTGAGCATTGTCAGGTCTGAATGTATTACATCAGTGCCATTTATAGAGAAACAGTCATTTACATAACATGAAATGCAATATACCTCTTAGGTTATGTTTCCCTCACTTATTCTGCAATGTAATATTTTACAGCCTTTTTTAGTGAACTGACAACTTATAAAAAGACATTGAGGTGAAAATAAATCAATAATGAGAAATGAATAAAGAAAAATGCAATCAGGTTTAAGTGATATTTGAGGGGATACAAGGTCATTCAACCCCCCCCCCAAAACAGAGGAGATGGTTCTTTACCTGGAGTGTGGATGAAGTAGGGTACCAGGAGTTTTGTCCTTTTCTTCTCATATCCCTTCTGTGTTATATCACCTGTAACAGATCATAAAGATGAGTGACCTTTAGATCTTTGGTCATAATGAGGCAAAGGCCGACTTGTATTTAATAGGATGTGAATCCACATCACTTCACTCGTATTGTGAGCAGCACTAACATTCAGTGGTAGTCCATTTCAATTCTGCATTACATAACAGATACTTCTATATGCTTGATAAAACACACAAGAATTGTAAGATCCATCTAAGAAATATCGCTAATGCTTTGGTTAGGAGCAATGTTTTATTGATAACACTCTAGGACTGAGCTGCGTGCTCTGATGAACGCGGTCTATAACCACGTCTTCAAACACAACAGTTGTGATAGAGCAACAGAGAGGAGAGAAACAGGTCAAATAAAAAACAGAACTTGCAAAGGAGATTGAAACACAGATGGATGCACACAGTTGTTTAGTATTCTCCAGAGATGGCTCAGGGCATCAAAGCTGTGGCTATCTTCCAGTCTCAAGTATGACACAAAGAGAAAAACAAAAACAGGACTAAATTTGGAAACGTGCAGAAGCGTGGGCGAGCGAGGGGATGATTCAGAGACGCAGAGAGAGAACAGAAAGGCTTGAAAGCTGAGGGTAAGAAATGTGGGAGACACGCCGAGGAGGAAGTGACAAGAAGTGAGTCACGGTACATCCGACACAGAGAGGAACGGTAAAAGAGCCAAACGCCGCTCCTGTCCCCCCCTGCAAACTGCCCATCTGCAACTCCCTCCAGCCCACCAGACACAACACAGGCCGACTGAGCTCCTCCACCGGCCCCGAAGCGATGCACTGACTCTGCCAAGTTCCACTCAGGGCAAAGCTGTCCGATTTTCGGACACGGACCAAAAATCCTTCTGGAGAGCCTCCACTCATTTTTATCATAGAGTAACTGTGTTGAGCAGCAGTGATTCATTCAGTATGTCTGCTCCGGCTGCTCTCAAACCTCGTCATAGTCCCATGAGACACGTAGCCTACACTAACAGAATGAAAGACAAGCAGAAGAACATGAGCCTGCCGCTGTCTGTCTAAAAACCCCAGGTTGCTATCACTCTCTATGATATTAGCAAGAGATCCCATTTTGTGACCAATGTAACTCCGCCTTATGTATCATCTCCTGGAGATCAGAGGTAATCCCTGAGAAAAAAAAAAAAAAAGGCCGCTGAGACGCACAGGGATGAAAGATTGAAAGAAACTGATGTTGACTTTTTGGAAATTAGAAATTAGGTGGAGATTTCTCAGTTGAACTGCTGCCAACTACCTACAGCAGGGGTCAGGCCAAGTTTCCCCAAACTGATGGAGAGATGGAGCAGGGACCCCCTATTCTCCAGTTTGGTCCGCTATCTGAGTGAACCGGTGCCCAGCTTGAGGAAGCTCCTGTGGGCAGCTGAATGTGTGAGCTTCTCCATCAATTTATCCGGTCGCTACAATATGTTGGATTCATGTTAATGTGTATTTCAAGACAATAAATACAATTCTGATTCCGTATTGATATGGAGAAACAATTACGAGGGAAATAAAATCTGAACATGCATACTATGGCTGTAATAGTGCAAATCGCACGTTCAATGCATGGCTACTTTAAAGCACTAATTTGTGACTAACTGTGACGTAAGCTGCAATGTTGAGTTCCCGGATCACCGCAATTGAGTTGGTGAGACAAGTCATGATGAAATGTATGTTGCTGATAGGGTTAACGGTCAAAATGAGGAAAATCTGATCCAAATTGCAGTACACCAGATTGATTCCATATTATGAATGAATACACCATGAAAAAAAAATTACAAAAGTTAATCATTAACGAAATCAGATATTCACTAAAAAACACATTTTGTTGTGTTGATAATCTCAGCCCTAATTATAACATATTTACATCTGTAACAGTTCTGCAGAGGAGTAGACAGCCCTGCAATACTTCAACTAACTGCACTACTGAAACATCTGCTCTGATAAACCTACTCAGTACTGACAAGCTGACACAAAATGAGAGTGCTCATGTTTGGGGAATATTGCCTGAGAGCCCACTCCAACAAAATATCTACTTTTTTTCCCCCAAGAAAGGAAGAAAAGCAAACACTTCCATAAGTAATGCATGAACAGTACAGTTGGCCTAGCTCAGTCACATGATTTATTTTTAGCTCATGTGAACAGGCAGTTTCTCTGCAGTGAGATGCACAGAGAGAGAGAGAGAGAGAGGGAGAGATGGACTTGGTGATGGGGGAGGGGTTGTCGGGGCATTAAATGAATCTCAAAGTAATCACTCTTCCATCTGGATGATTCGAAATTCATCTGGTTTTTTTATGGTCGCACCATCAGATCCACGCTCCAGCAGCCGGAGATGACTTGTGGATGTGAAGCTTTTGTTGTGTGAATGAAGCATTGAGTTGTTCAATTTAAGGGGCGTCTGGTTTGCTAGTTAGGGGCTGGCTACATCTGTAGAAAACAAAAGCACCGCGTGAACTGCTGCGGTTGCCCTACGTTACTTTAGGATGTAGCCAGACTTTCAACAGGCGTTTAACAGAGAATTAAAATGTGCAAATATTGCAAATGGAATATTAGAAAAATTTGAGAATCTGATTCTTGTGCTACAGCTTACATTTGAAAAATTACTTACAAAAAAACCCATACTCTTTTGATTTAACCTATTTCAAACCAAGTTTAACTCACTGTCTCTCAGGGATCCAGTCACGTAATGTGGAGACCACATTAAAGGCTTTGCATGACGCGGTCTCATTTGGACAGATGCAGTGGTGAAGAAGACTACTGCACCTCGGTTTTATTTCCTTAAAATGTGTTAAGAGTAACATCAAAGCTGTGTGTTCACACAGCTCTGTACACTCTCGAACTCGTTAGCCTTGGATTATTTGAATTGCAGTGAGACCCCTCTCTCTCCTTCTTCCCCTCAGGCACTACGTCTGAATAGTAATCAGCTACCAACCTTTATTTTCTCTCCTGTTTTTTTTCCTTCTCCCTCACTCACTCGCTTGCTCAGGACGACAGTTTGAACGCGTTTCGACACCTGCTCGCTGACAATGATCAGACATGTTGAAATAGTGCTGGGAAAACAGGCAATTCCAGCTGGCACCTCATAAAATGATGTTGTTGTTTTTCCGAAAGGATGTGACTGGTTAGAATCGGGTACATTTTATCTGCAGAACAAACCCCTCTACTGAGTCATACCAGCTGCCTCCTCCTACCAGGAAGCCAAGCATCTCCCTCAGCCAAAGATCACCCACTCCCTGTGTCCACACCACGCAGCAGCACACACAACACGCACCTGAACATGTTTCACATGATGTATTGTTTAACTTAGACAACTTTTATGAGTAAGAATGCATAATATATTGCCTTTATGAACACACACACACACACACACACACACACACACACACACACACACACACACACACACACACAAATACATGGTGGCTGTGAAGGAGAATGATGTCCTGCTCCGCAGTTTTTAATTGTATGTTCTATCACAGTTTTCCGGCTGAGCCGGCAAAACCAAATCCAGCTATATGTTTCTTTATCAGAAACTATTAAAGACTCAATCACCGCATAACACTGTACTCACAATTGAGTTAATTGTCTAGGATTCAGTCAAAGTGAGAGGTGGTTTGACTTCTTTAGCATCCTCTGCGTGTGTAAACCTGCTATCCGTTAGTGAATGGAAGAAAGATCTCAGTGGAGGAACCAACAGCTCAAAGTACATGTCGATACAAGACTGTAAGCGTGCCAACAAGAGGATGCAGATGAATGTGTGAGGGACCTTTAGGGCGATGACCACATTTAGAACGTATTAGATTTCATTAATCCCCTTTAGCATCCATGTTTTAATCTTAACTCTACAGTAATCATTATTTGGTTTAGCTCTTCATTGAAGAGAAAATGTTTGTGGATGGACATCGCCATGGCACCAAACTCCGCCCCCTCGCACATGCAGTGGCACAGGCAATTATTCATTGGGATGGACAGATGTGGCTACTGAACATTGTGGGGAGACACACCAATGCCAAAGCTACAACTGAACTTCTAGAATTGTATTATTCTATCATATTATAAGGAAATTAAGCCAATATAGTGACATACTTCCGTATTCCTATACTTCCTATTTGACAGTTAATATCTATATCTATCTATTGTTTATAAACCAATATCAGCACAGTTAACACTTTCAGTATCCCAACAATCACGTTTTAAGTGTACATGTTAGGCCAATCTTTGTTTTATTTTTTCCTCAGAAAGACAAAGATGTTGATAAAAATGAATCTCATCTAATCTAACTATAGTTTCTTACGACACGTTCATAAGGAGAAGAGATACATACATTTTGAGTCGCATAATTAAACTGGTAGGACGAGAATTGGAGCCCTATTACACACACACACACACGCGCGCGCACGTTTTCTTTGCAGGTCTCCGGTGATTCTCTTCCTCGGGAGTAACAAGGAGGGTGTGGCCAACTCAGGTAACAGGGTGATTCATGTTTCACACCCCACATTTCAACATCTCACACACACACACACACACACACACACACACACACACACACACACACACACTTAGACCTGAAGAGCAAGTAAAACTAATAACAGGGGATACAAAGCAGGAAAGCAAAAGAGAGCAGTGAGTTAACTGAAAAGAAGACAGTGCCTCCAGTCGTCATCCAGTATTTCTTCTCTGTCTTTGCACAGCCGACAGAATGAAAGAGGGTGTGTATGACACACCTGACACCTTTATACACGTGGCGGTGGCAAAGCTGTTACAAACGCACTGTAACACCTACAAGAGTATATGTTCTTGTGGGACTGAGAAGCTGTGAGTAGACCATGGCATTTGTGTAGACCTTGAAACATGGATGTCTCTGAAGTAGAGAAACATCCTGTTGATGTTTTATGTTTTCTTCAGTTACCATCAACTAAAATGACTATGTGACATATCTGAGTGAGGGCAAAACGGCGTAAAACACTGCTTCTAAAGCTCAAATATGTTTATTGTTTGGCGC